ACCTGGAGTCCTGTGTCCAGGTTTGGGCACCGTATTTTAGGAAGGATGTTGACAAGCTCGAGCATGTCCAGAAGAGGGCAACCAGGATGGTGAGAGGGTTGGAATCCAAGTTTTATGAGGAAAGGCTGAAAGAGGGGACATGATTGCAGTCTTCAAGTATTTGAAGGGCTGTCATGTAGAAGATGGAGCAGATCTATTCTCTCTTGCTCCGGATTGCAAGACTAGATCTAATGGGTGGAAATTACAAGGGAGTCATTACTGACTAAATATCAGGAGAAACTTCTTAACTGTAAGAGCATTTGAGCAGTGGAACAGACTGCCTCGGGAGGTGGTGGATGCTCCTTCGCTGGACGTTTTCAAGCGGAGGCTGGACAACCATCTTTCGGGTATGTTGTAGGTATGTAGGGCTATCTTTCGGCTATGCTCCTGCAGAGTGCAGGGGGTTGGACTAGATGACCTGCAAGGTACCTTCCAACTCTAACATTCTATGATTCTATGATATTTGAACAACTGATCCCACACTATATCATAATCCACTTCTAAAATTCTCTGTTGCAAAAGCATCCTGCAAATTTGGCCTTTAAGAGCTGCTGTTTCTCCCTAACACATGTGTTCATGGTGTATTTTTGCAATCCTTTGGGTCTTGGCTTGTACCAATTAAAAGTGAATTAACATTAAAATAAAAACCAGTCAAAAGATCTCTCTGGTCTTAATTATGCAGGTTGCTATTGCAAATTATGTAGGTTGCTATTGCAAAAATGAATGCAAATAATTTATCTAGTTAATTTAAAATTGAAGATACTGACTGCCACAACAATATAGGGAACACAACTTGGGCCTCACGCTTCTGATTAAATATTTTGTGAACCTATGCTATATTAACATTCATTAGACATTCCCGTTTTTAAAATTATTTGTTCCACTGAAATGCTGTTTGACTGAAGTTTAACATACCTGGAGTGATGTAGGTCAATTTTAATACCTATTAGCAATTACCAAATCACCAGGAAATGTGTCCTGTTAATCAATTAAACACTGAGCCCACCTAGTGGGGAGGGCTGGGTATAAATTGAATCTATAAATAAATAAGGAAATGTGTCCTGTTAATCAATTAAACATTTTCATATTGGATGTGTTGTTTCATGATAGCTTTTTTCATATTCTCAAGAATAAACGTATTTGAAAACAGAGTTTATAATATAATAAGCCCCAACAGCTTCTGCATTGCTTAAGTACTTATTCTGAGTAGCAAAGAGAAAGATTTGTGAAGACGTTTTCCTCAATTTAATTTCCTAAAATTAAGAATCAAACTACATTTTGCAAGGTATCTTGAGAAAACAGGCACCATAAGCAATTAAAACAAACCAGTGAAAAATTCAATAAAATGTCTGTAATTTATTATATACATGACTTGCTTCAGACTGCACTCTGAATGTGCAAAAGTATATACTTTGACAGCACCAGAAAACAGTTATGCTGAACAGTTTTTACCTGATTTATCACATTGTGCTAAACACAATGAGTTTCACAAATATGAAAACATGGTCTCTACAAGCAATTGCAGTAATATGCTAACACTTGATTGTATCACTCTCACTCAACAAAATAAATAGAAATCCAACATAGTCATCACAATTTATTTACTAGTCTGCTCAAAAATGTATTTTCTTTCCAGTGTGTTTTGGTCTTTTGCTAGCTACAGGACTAATTAATGTTACAGAAAGCAAAACCAGTTATGCTGGTTTATATAAAAATAAGTTTTTTAATATATATTTTAAAGAATTTTTGAAGTACATAACAAAGTTGCTCGCTAGGCCTTTCCACAATACAACTGCCCTGGTCTTTAATTACAGCTAAAACAAAACATATAGAATGTAATTTTCAAATGAAGTCTAAATCAAATACAAAGCGCCCTTAAGTTTTATTTAGTAGTATCAATAAATATTAACTACTATAGCTGTGCAAAGCAAGGCATGGAAAGGCTTTATGAAAAGTACATTATGTCAAATCATCAAAGCTTAAACATAGTATCTTTGATACCAGAACTAATCCTTCATTTCACTCCCACATTCAAGGAAATATTTAAATCTGATTTGTAAAACAAGGCACATCTTTCAACTACTGAACAGAATCTGATATTTAAACTGGAGACTTGCTAATACAATCTGTGAAATCATCAATGCAATGCCTAACAAGAAAAATGAAAGAATATATTCTAAATTTTGCTTGAATGTTTTATGTATCTTGGGGAAAACCTTTAGTATTCCAATTCATCTGGTTGCCAAAGTTTTTTTATATAAGGTAAAGAAATAAGAAGGGGGGGGGGGAGGCACAAAGAATGTAAACAGATACATTACTAAAGGGCAAACAGCATAACACCTGAAAAGAGAATACAATTATGAGAGACTAATTTGGAGTACATGATTAGGCTTCAATTTTCATGAAAATTACACGAAATGTAAAATTTAATGGGTTAAATGCAATGGTGAAGGTTAGCAATATTTCCAGTTATCTTTTACAAGAAGTAACACTGAAGTGTTTCAAAGTAGAGTCTGAAATTAATCTCACAAGAAGTGGTCCAAATTATGCATGCGAGGCATAAAGACTCGTGAGAAATCTAGGCAGTACAGAATTCTGTTACTAAAAATTCTTTATCAGATCCAAGACTTGCTGAGAAGTATATCTGACCTGATGGTTTAGCCAGTCTCACATTAAGAGAATTATAAGATGAAGACCAACTTGATCCTATTTCCAACAGTCATTGCCTTGGCTAAACAAACACAGAAACAAATGTATCTGTTAAGATCCACACACAGTGAGAGTTCCAAGCCAAAGCAGTTTTGTGTGGTACTTAAAGTATACAGAGCTCTGTAAAAAAAAATTAAACAAAGACCTCTTGTTAAATAACAAATTAATTGTAGGAAACCAATTATACCAGTTGCCCAGAATTTCTGTTTCAGGAAAGTACAGCAAAATGGCTCTCCAGAGAGCTAGAAAGGCTGAATGGTTTCTCCATTCTTTAAACTCAACTTCCTCCCATCTTGACACTTGAATTAGGAGGTTGGATTCCTTGTTTCCAGATATTAGTTTTTTTTCATGGTAGCAACTATCAAGTGACTGTTGCTGTAACAGCATGTTATGGATACTTGGCGGAAAGACATGGAACGCTGGACTGAAATTACGGTTTTATCCATAAAGAAGGAAGAAAATTCTGTAGGACAGAATGAGAATGCAACCTCTTGCAACATGCCCAGTCAATTTCCATGGATTTCCTCCTTCCTTCTGCAGTGCCCCCCCTATGCTGTTCCTAAAGTCCCCTATAGCATAGAGTAAGTATTTTGAAGATCAGTGGGAGGCAGGAAAATTCAATTCTGTTTATAGGAAATATTGTCTGGATCCAACCCATTATGGGCTTTACTTTTGATTGAATCAGCGTGCAAAGTTCGCGAAGATCGCGGAGCTGAGAAAGACTGGCCTTAGACAGCAAGAATGGGACGCCGACCCCGGAGGAAGAGAGCCGGGGAACAGCTAACCCACCCCCTGGGTGCCGGTAGGCAGCCCCACCCCCTGTAATATATGTGGCCATAGTCTAGGGAATTAACTTGCACTTGCAACATATCTGTAAACCGCTCTGAGACCTCCGGGTCTGAGCGGTATATAAATCGAAATGTAAAGTAAAAGTAAAGTAAAGTAAAAGTTTCAAAAGACACACACGTCACCTCTTGACAAACGGAAAAGATAGGTTTTCAACAAGCAAGACAACCTGTGCTTCCATTAATGAAACTCAGAGTAGCTGTCCAGCTCTGTAATCAGAAAAACACAGAATCAGTGTGTTTGTTTTTAAATTTTTTTAGTACCAGTGGTAATATATACTTGGCAGGCTCCGGAGTCATTAACCTAATATGCTAAATCCAAGATTGCAGACAGGAAAAACCGGGTTTAAAGGATGCCTAAAATATTCCTTAAATGTAAGAAATCCTTAGCATACAAATTATATATAAGAACGTTGCACGTTCATGTTTTCCAAGATATATATATTTTGTAATTTTCATCTTATTTTTTTGGCATAACATTTCAGCTTGAAGAGGCAAACTAATCTTTTGGTCCTGCTTATTACTGAAAGGATTTCTGATACTTGTCGCCGAGTCCTATCTCCCGCACGGCAGCGCAGGATAGCATCGGGTGCGGCACACTCAGTGCCAGCCTTCACAAGACTTCCATCTAATGCACTGCTCAATGTGGAGACAGGCCTTTAAGGCCTCTTTCGTCCAGCACAATAGTCACAAGGCCAGAGAAAAAGCCCCACTGCTACTACTACCAGCAACTGAGCTTAGCAACGGGGTGGGAGGGGGTTGACATCAGCAATTAAGGTGTTGCTGGTCAGGACGACTACTTTGCCTCATGCTGGATGCTGCTGCCTCCCTATATTCTACACGAGCCAACTGTGACGATCTTTCGTCACAGTACTGCTTCAGAAAAGTACATATTTCTATTGCTTTAAACATCAACAGCAGCTAAAATTTTAAGTCTGTGCTTTATCCGAACAGAGGAGAGTGACATTTTAAGATTCGTATCTCAGGACACACAGTGTCTTTTAAAAGAGAATAAGACCGACGTTCTTTATTTGCTAAGGAAAATGGAGAAAGCAGACCGGCATACTGGTGTGCGGGGCCCACTTGCTGCAAGCCAGTGCATAGTCAAGTCGATAGTCTGCCCAGCATCCTTCAACTACTTTAGGGTGTGGTAACATTCATCCGCTATCTACCCCAGCTAATATGCTCCGTTAGTGCATTACTTATTTGTTTAAATAACCTTGGCAAGTATTAAAAATAATCATCTGAGGGTCAACCGGAAGGGAAAAAAAAATCATATTTCTGTGTTTCCTCTATCGTTTATTACCCTTTCATATAAAATGTAAAACTAAAGCTGAAATTTGGGTCACGTGGAAGAATAGAGGACAAGCAATGGAAGAGCAAAAGGAAACCCAAGTTATGGCAAATTGGTTAACGTGTTCTCAACTTTTTGGTCTGCTTCTTGCGTTTCAATTCCTCCTCTTCACGTCTCTGCTCTTCTAGATCTTCTAGCATTCCCAGTCTCAAGCTGCAGAAGAAAATTTCAGGTGTGCTTCATTAAATCCAAGAAAAAACAGCACGGACGCAACAATCTCCACTAGAATAAACCCCTCGCTACCCTAAAATCACTTCTCCAGACCACTTTCATTCACGGCACTGAAAAGCCAACTCAAACAGAAAGGTTCCACAATGCTTCCCAAAGATTATCATGGCATAGTAAAGGGTAAAGGTTTCCCTTGCTCGAAAGCCAGTTGAATCCGACTCTAGGGTTGCGGTGCCCATCTCCGTTTCCAAGCCGAAGATCCAGCGCTGTCTGAAGACGTTTCCGTGGTCATGTGGCCGGCATGACTAGACGTCGAGGCACACGGGGCGCTGTTACCTTTCCCACCAAAGCAGTACCTGTTTATCTACTTGCAATCTCTTGCTTTCGAACTGCTAGGCTGGCAGGAGCTGGGGCCAGAGACGGGAGCTCACTCCGTCATACGGCACTCGGTCCTCGAACTGCTGAACTACCGACCTTCCGGCCTGCAGTTCAACGTCTTAACCACTTGAGCCACCGCAGCTCCTATCGTGGCATAAAAAAGGTAAAGGTTCCCCTTGCTCGAAAGCCAGTCGAATCCGACTCTAGGGTTGCGGTGCTCATCTCCGTTTCAAAGCCGAAGAGCCAGCGCTGTCCAAAGATGTTTCCGTGGTCACGTGGCCGGCATGACTAAACACCAAGGCGCACGGAACGCTGTTACCTTCCCACCGAAGTGGTTCCTATTTATCTACTTGCAATTTCTTGCTTTCGAACTGCTAGGTTGGCAGGAGCTGGAACTAGACATGGGAGCTTACTCCATCATGCGGCACCCGGGTCTCGAACTTCCACAGCCTGCAGTTCAGCGTCTTAACCACTTGAGCCACCGCAGCTTAAAGACTTACAAAATACATGGCAGGATAGGAGTTTTTGTGGAAGCTCCTCCCCTGCCACATATTTTGTTAGTCTTTAAGGTGCTACTTTAGGGTTTCTACTGCTTCAGAAGAAGTGAGCAGCGACTCGGGAAAGCTCCTAACCTGCCATGTATTTTGTTACTCTTTAAGGTACTATTCTCCTGCCATCCTAGCAGTTCAAAAGCAAGAAGTTGCATGTAGATAAATAGGTACCACTTCAGTGGGAAGGTAACAGCCTTCTGTGCGTCTTGGTGTTTAGTCATGCCGGCCACATGACCACGGAAACGTCTTCGGACAGCGCTGGCTCTTCGGCTTGGAAACGGAGATGAGCACCGCAACCCTAGAGTCGGACTCGACTGGCTTTCGAGCAAGGGAACCTTTACCTTT